TATATTTCCATGTTGTTCTATTACAGGAGGAGCTATGCTAGATATGGTAAGGCCCTGAGTCAGGGCCTGCTCAATTTGTTCATCTATGAGAAAATTGTATGTCAGGGGTTGTTCTGGGTTTCAAATTAGATTTGTTGTTGTTTGTGGTAATAATGTCATTCTGTCAGATTCAGGGTAAGCTAGAATCTGCCATTTCCCAGAATTTTCTTCAAGACTATCATAGTCAACAGTGGGTAGTGTAGAAGTTGAAGTGTTATCAACTGCTTTAAGCTTTCTTTTCTTGTTTTATATATCTATTAGGCTGCAGTTCTCGGTATGAACGTGTATAAGTCATATTTTCTTTACTTGAGGGCTTGTTATACTCTTTTTGCTATCTTTATTATTGTTTTTGTCAATTGCTGACTGAGTTGGCAACAGTGTTAGAAAAGAAACTAGAATACAGAAAGCTGACTTTCTCTTTCGTTTAATCTTTGCAAGCTTGTCTGTTGTTGTATCGTTGCCTTGTGATAATAATTATTTAATTAAAGTTTAAAGGTAGTTAAAAATAAAATAAAAATTAATTAGAGTCACAAAGTTGGCTAATTTTTTTACAATTTTTGCTATTTGTTTATAAATAATATATATAATTTATGTTTATTAGTTGACATCTTATTATTATCTATTTTAGATAAATAATATATATCATTTATAAACAAATAACAAAAATCATAAAAAATTGGTCAACTTTATGACTCTGATTAATTTCTATTTTATTTTTAATTACTTCTAAAATTTCATAAAAAAAATTTATATATTAGTGATTTAAAGTTTAAAATTTGACTAACCAATAAAATTTTTACTATATCACAAGATGATCTACAAAAATTAACCAATTATAATAAAAGCTCATCATATTGCATATATTGTAATTGTCTAATAATAGTTATAATCACATGATATACAAAGGGTATATCCATAGAGCCTATACTTGCTAGCAAAATCTAAAGAAATCCTAAACCTCTTCAAAAAAATATTTTTAATATTTTGTAAATATATTATATATAGCTATAAGAATATAAATTATTTGTTTAAATAAAGATTATTAACAAAGTTTTTGAGATAATACAGTACTCTACCATATTATTATAGACACTTTTTAAAATTTTATATAAAGCTAAATAAGCAATCTGTTAAGCTAAAAATAAAATTATAAATTTATTAAATCTATATCTTTTAAATAAAAAAAAAAGTATTAAATTTTATGCAGTACTTCTTGAGATAATTAAGATTATATAATATTTTATAATATTATGTTTGTACTAAAAAAAAATTAATTGTTATAATTGCTATATATTAAAAATTAATTTTTTATTAAGTAACCTAAATTTGATTATTAAGTAAAAATTATTCAGCATAACAAATTATATATATTTTAAAAATTTTAAAAGTTTTTAAAAAATATTTATTAAATTATTAAATATAGTAATAATTACTATATTTAGAGATCGTCTAAAGCGAAGCAGAATCACATGATATTTGACCAATCAAATCATAGAATTTTGATGATCACCGGCGAAGCAAAACAAGAAATAAAAACAAAAAACCTGAAAAATACAAAAAACAGCAGTCTAAACCTACCTCAGGTAAGTTAATTAAAAATATCAGGAAAGCAATTTTGCTTATATCTAACTATCTAAAACCTAGTCTAACCCTAATATAAGATGACCCTAACCCTAAAGTTAATTCAATAAAATATATATTATAAGAATCTACTCTGCTTTAGACGTCCCCTATATTTAGTAGTTTATTAATTGGTGATTTGCTAGTTAACCAGAGAGAAGTTATAGTATAACATGATATAGTTTATATATAGAAATTGGAGTTTGTGAATATGGGCTGCATTATTCTAAAACTTTTTTTCATACTAAGTTAACTATCTTTGGGCTTCTAAAAACATTTTGCTAACTAATAAAATTCTCTTTCAACAATAGTATTATTAAAGAAGAATTTTATATAGTCGGTAAAACATTTTTTGAAGATATCTTGTGATTTACAAGACTAATTTTGACGATTCAACTACTATTAAATTCCTCTTAATGAGCTCTATAACTTTAATTAGAAGCCCAAAGGTGGTTAACTTAGTATAAAAAAAAGTTTTAGAATGATGCAGCCCATATTCGCAAAACTTTAATTTCTATATGTAAACTACGTCATATTATATTATAACCTCTCATTGGCTAACTAGCAAATTATCAATTAATTTGAAATATATTATATTTTTAATATAAATTTGAATTTAAATTTTTAATATATATAAAACTTAATTTTTTATTAAGTAAACCAAACTTAATTATTAAGTAAAATTTGTTCAGTATAATAAATTGTATTTAAATTTAAAATTTTTAAAAAATTTTAAACCAAATATTATTATTAAATATAAAAATTAAATTATTAAAAACTAGTTAATAGTACAAGCATAATATTACACAATATTATATAATCTTAATTATCTCAAGAAGTACTGCATAGGATTTAATAATCTTTTTTTATTTAAAATATATAGATTTAATAAATTTATAATTTTATTTTTAGCTTAACAGCTTGCTTATTTAGCTTTGTATAAATTTTTAAAAAGTGTCTATAATAATATAGTAGGGTACTGTAGTTTAGGCTTAAGTTTGGGATTTGGATATAAACAAACCCAAACTATAATAGTTTGGGATTTGGGCAGTAAGTATAGGCATGCCTCAACCTAAAAGCATGTCCAATTTTTTATCTATATTCTAAACCCTACTAGATATCCTAGTACAGATCATTTGTTAATTACAATTTAGTTATATACTAAAAAGACAATCATTTTTTAAGTGTTACTTATATATGTAAGTCTAGCAAATTTTTTTTTTAATTTTTAATAGCTGTTCTACTTTGTTTAGTGTATCAAAAGTACATCAAGAGTATATTGAGTATAACTAGTTTGCATATAGAGTGCTTCTTTCTGTGTTATAAATACAAAATAAAATTTTTAATTATATTATATAATTGAAAATTTTTATTTTATATTCGCAATACAAGAAGAAGCTCTCTATATACAAATCTAGTTACTCTTGACATACTCTTGATACATTTTTGATATACTAAACAAAGTAGAGCAGCTGTTAAAAATTAAAAAAATCTCTGCTTATAAATCTTCACTATATATTAGACAATAATTACTATAAAATTTTGAAATAGTGAGTATAGATATTATTTCAAAAATCATATCCCTAAATAGTATATGTGGATTCAAAATAATGCCTATATGTATCTCAAAATAATATGCATTCTACTATTATATATTTTGAAAAAAATAAGTTTAAAAATAAAGATATTAAAGAGTTCATTTAGTCTAATCTAGCTTGGTTCTTAAAGAGTCAAAATCTAACTTAGTAGTTTAATATGCAATATAGATGATGATTCATTTTTAATAAATTTTATCTGAATTAATTTTGGACTGGCCCTAAACATTCAGTTCTAAACCCAGTTCAAACTAGTTTTTTGTGAGCTATTTAATATCCCTATTTAGAAAATCAGCCTATATATTCAAAATAATATCTATAGGTATATTTAAAATAGCATGCAGATAGTCAAAATAATACACAAATATCTGCTATTGCAAGATTTTACAGTATGCAGAAAAAAGTTTCTATATGGTATCAAAAATATAAAAAACAAACTTCTTCTTATAAAATAATATACTCTTAAACATAAGCTATTATTTTGTTTACTTTTGTCACATTCTTTTCAGGTTTGCAAATTTGTGGTTCAAAAAGTGTTTTACTAGACGTGTTTAAATAAAAGCTTTCAGCAAAATTAAGCTTTGAAAGGTTGATACATTATTAAAATAATAAAGAAAATCAAGAAAAACTGTTTTATAGTATGTAAATCACCTATTTATTTGACATAATTGATATATTTAAGCTATTCACTTTTGTCAATACTTACTACTATATGTACTATCTTTTTTATTAATTTTATCTAAGATAAGTTATTTAAGTTTATATTTTTTTTATTTTATTTGTTTAATTAAAAAATTTTGATATAAATATATATCAGTAATATGAAATATAAGTTTTATAATTTAGCTATATTAATTGAATTCTTTATATTTTTTTTCTATAAGTTTATTGAGCAATATTAAAACTATTATATTCATATTAATTATATATTGTTTGAACTTGGTGCTGGGAAAAAGGGCAAAAGAAAAAAGAAATGAAAGAGAAAAAGAATGAAGAATGAAATTAACAAAAAAAAAATTTTTTATAAAAAAATTAATTATCTCATGAACTATTGTCCAGAATCATATAATTTTAGTATCATTTAATTTAACTCACTGAGACAGATTCTTTTTTTAAAATATCAAGCTAACATTGTTTATAATAAAGTCTGGTTTAACCATATTAATAGTCAAATTCTCTCTAATTGCAAGATTTCTAAACATTAACAAGTTTTGTTTAAATTAAAACTCATACCTTGTGATCATAGCTTGTAACCTTTTCTAAAAATTCTAGTAGTTTGTAGTTTTTAAATGGGCTTGGTAAGTTTATAAAAACCAAATAACAAGTGAATACTATATATAAAAATAAAATGAAAACCTATCTTCAAGAACCGCATTCTTTTCAAATTTATTACATATCATTTTAAATATAAAAATAAGAAAGTACTTATATTATTAGACTATAGTTTATGTCTTATAAACATGGTTTTCTTTTAAGAAACTCTATTCGAAAAGGGCCTACCATTGCAATTTACTATGAAAATAAGCCTATTATATACATGTCGATTACTCAAATCTATATATTATACAAAAAAATTAGAATATATATAGTAGGTAGATATTGCATATTTGTGTAACTTTTTGTATAGTATAGCCCTGTGATTGATCTTCTATTGAATATACATATTTGTAATTTGATAGGTTATACAGCTCGGTGATTAACTCTCAAGATGTTGACTCAATATGTGCTTTACTATAAATTGACGTAATGAGATTGTTCTACTTAACATTATATATAGACGTTTGATCATAATTTTTTTATCTACTTTTTGCTTTTTGCTTCCTGACTATTTGATTGTAATTTAGAAAATTATTTGCATATTATTTTAGTTTTTATAGTATTTTATTATAATAGATTTCTCTATAACTAAAACTCCAATTGAACACCAGTATAGACTAAAAAGAGAATTAGCTGCACGTCAAAGTGAAGAACAAAGAGAAAGATATAAAAAGCAGTATAGAGAATCAAAAGCTAGAACGTTTAACTGTGTTACAATCTCTACAACTACTGATTCTTTTGCCCAACCCCAAAAAAATTTTGTTTTTGCTTCATCTATGAATAATACTAACTTTTCTATTTTTAACCATGTTACAACAGCTACATCTACAGAATCTTTTGTTCAATCTCAAGAAAGTTTTGTTTCTTTATCTACTAATGATAATAGCTCTTTTATATTTTCTTCTCTTAATAGGTTTCTGACACCTCATTTACCTCAAGAGATTCTCATTTCAGTAGCTTCTTCTACATTAACTACTATAGTTTCACTTACAATATCTATTGCTAATAGTGTTCTAGTTTTAAAAATGCATGTGCACCTATTTGATTCAAGTTGTCTACAGCGGCATATACTTGAAAAAATAGATATTTCATGTAGTTCTTGTGGTGCACTAAAATGGATAGATGAGAGATGCACAGGTTCACTAAACATTCTTTGCTTTTTGCTACTTGCTATGCATATGAAAAAGTTGTTCTTCCAAATCTTCAAGAACCTCCACCAATATTGAATACTTATTTCACTAGCAATGATATGTGTTTAAGAGAATTTTGCCAAAATATACGTTCTTATAATTTAATTTTATTCTTTATTTCTCTAGAAGCTAAAATTGATGAATATGTTACAAGAATATGAGGTCTTTATAGTTTTTCTATATATGGAGAAGTCTATCATCGAATTAGATCTCTTCTTTCTGAATCTTTTAAAAATCAGCCTTCTTTCATACAACTATATGTTTTTAATACTGAAAATGAAATTCAAAACAGGAGTAACATTATGTCATCTTTAGATCAGATAACTCTTGCTGAACTTCAGAACATGCTTCACACTACTAATTTATATGTTCAAGTTTTTCAATAAACATAGCATATTTCAGAGCTACATAGAGTATATGCAGCATTATATTATATTCTTTTGTTCCCCAGAGGTGAAGATGGATAGCACCCAAAAATCCTACTTTCTGATGAAACTCAAATTTTATCTTAATCTGCTAAAATACAACAAGACCGATATGAAAATAATACAATAAACGACAAAGATCTTAGAGATCAACACTATGTTACTATGATGCAATACTATAATTATTGGTTACAAGTAGGTTACCCAGAAAAGGAATAAGTCTTCATCTTGATAGACATTTATTTTAACAATATATTGTCAATGCCTATGCAAATATAGAACAAAACCGTTTCAACTACTTAAAATTTAATCAAAAATGACTTCGTGTTGAGCTTTATAGTGGTCTTCAAGATGCTTTAACTACTCAAGATAACCTATTTCATACTGTAGAAGTTGCAAATATAGGCAGACAAATTATTCTTCTTTTAAGCTTTACTGGTAGTCCACATCAGATACAACAACTATATCAAGACGTGATGGCTATTGTGTACACACTTGGCAAACCGGATCTTTTTATTACCTTCATATGTAATTCAATATGGCCCGAGATTACTAATGAACTCCTCAATAATCAGTATGTATCTGATCATTCTGATCTTATAGCTAGAGTTTTTAATATGAAATTAAAGGCCTTAATGAATGATATTCTAAAAAATTATATATTTGGCATAGTTTAGCTTATATTTATATAATAAATTTCAAAAACATGGCCTTTTTTACTCACATATTCTTTTAATTTTAGATTCGAATAGTAAACCAAAAACTGTTGATGATTATGATGCTATCGTGTTAGCAGAAAATCTCTAATAAAGACCTTCACCCTAAAGTCTTTGATACTATTCGTTGAACTATGATGCATGGTCCTTGCAGTTCAGTCTACCCTAATGCCTCTTGCATAAAAGAAGAAAAATACTTAAAAAGATATCTCTGTTCTTTTTGTGCTACTACAAGTATAAATGCAGATAGTTATCTTGTGTACTGATGATGTGATTAGAACAACTCAATTGAAGTTAGAGTATACAATTAAATAACCGTTGGGTTATACCCATAATCTTTATCTAGCCACAAAATATAGTGTTGGCCGATAACCTTGAATAGCCTATATAACCTTTATGACCTGTCATAGATCATTTGGTTATAATGAAGGTTGATATGACTTTATAATCTTTTAATATAGTAAGATTCATAATAAAAAAAAATTTACTAATATTTAATATGACCGATATGACTTATGACCAAAAAATCATATGATTATAAACCAAGATTATATTGAAAAAATGTTATGACCTATATTATCGGTTAATACTAACAAAATATGATACACATATTAATGTGGAAATATGTTCTTCAATTGCTACAATTAAATATCTTTTTAAATATATATATAAAGGTCATGATTGCACTATAGTTGAAATTGAACAATCACAAGAATCAACCTCTGTACAAGATATTAATAAAATTTGTCTTTATATAGATGTCTGCTATGTTTCTGCCTCTGAAGCTATCTGGAGATTATTTCATTACAAGATGCATAATGAAAAATCTGACATTATGTGACTTCAAGTTCATCTACCTAACCAGCACATGATTGTTTTTCAAGAAGATAGAAATATAGAAAATATTATTAGCAATTCAGAAACAACTCTAACTGCTTGGTTTAAGGTGAATGAAAAATATCCTGAAGCACGTACATTTACTTACAGCAATTTCTCTACTCAATAGCACCACGTACAAAATTTAATAAAAGATGTAAATAATAGCATTCTTCAGCTTTTGGATGTACAAAGTACATACCCAAATAGTGTTATCCCTTTGGCATGGTTTTTATTTTTTATATTTTTGATCAAACACCTATTGAGTAGAGAAATTGCTGTAAGTAAATGTACGTGCTTCAGGATATTTTTCATTCACCTTAAACCAAGCAGTTAGAGTTGTTTCTGAATTGCTAATAATATTTTCTATATTTCTATCTTCTTGAAAAACAATCATGTGCTGGTTAGGTAGATGAACTTGAAGTCACATAATGTCAGATTTTTCATTATGCATCTTGTAATGAAATAATCTCCAGATAGCTTCAGAGGCAGAAACATAGCAGACATCTATATAAAGACAAATTTTATTAATATCTTGTACAGAGGTTGATTCTTGTGATTGTTCAATTTCAACTATAGTGCAATCATGACCTTTATATATATATTTAAAAAGATATTTAATTGTAGCAATTGAAGAACATATTTCCACATTAATATGTGTATCATATTTTGTTAGTATTAACCGATAATATAGGTCATAACATTTTTTCAATATAATCTTGGTTTATAATCATATGATTTTTTGGTCATAAGTCATATCGGTCATATTAAATATTAGTAAATTTTTTTTTATTATGAATCTTACTATATTAAAAGATTATAAAGTCATATCAACCTTCATTATAACCAAATGATCTATGACAGGTCATAAAGGTTATATAGGCTATTCAAGGTTATCGGCCAACACTATATTTTGTGGCTAGATAAAGATTATGGGTATAACCCAACGGTTATTTAATTGTATACTCTAACTTCAATTGAGTTGTTCTAATCACATCATCAGTACACAAGATAACTATCTGCATTTATACTTGTAGTAGCACAAAAAGAACAGAGATATCTTTTTAAGTATTTTTCTTCTTTTATGCAAGAGGCATTAGGGTAGACTGAACTGCAAGGACCATGCATCATAGTTCAACGAATAGTATCAAAGACTTTAGGGTGAAGGTCTTTATTAGAGATTTTCTGCTAACACGATAGCATCATAATCATCAACAGTTTTTGGTTTACTATTCGAATCTAAAATTAAAAGAATATGTGAGTAAAAAAGGCCATGTTTTTGAAATTTATTATATAAATATAAGCTAAACTATGCCAAATATATAATTTTTTAGAATATCATTCATTAAGGCCTTTAATTTCATATTAAAAACTCTAGCTATAAGATCAGAATGATCAGATACATACTGATTATTGAGGAGTTCATTAGTAATCTCGGGCCATATTGAATTACATATGAAGGTAATAAAAAGATCCGGTTTGCCAAGTGTGTACACAATAGCCATCACGTCTTGATATAGTTGTTGTATCTGATGTGGACTACCAGTAAAGCTTAAAAGAAGAATAATTTGTCTGCCTATATTTGCAACTTCTACAGTATGAAATAGGTTATCTTGAGTAGTTAAAGCATCTTGAAGACCACTATAAAGCTCAACACGAAGTCATTTTTGATTAAATTTTAAGTAGTTGAAACGGTTTTGTTCTATATTTGCATAGGCATTGACAATATATTGTTAAAATAAATGTCTATCAAGATGAAGACTTATTCCTTTTCTGGGTAACCTACTTGTAACCAATAATTATAGTATTGCATCATAGTAACATAGTGTTGATCTCTAAGATCTTTGTCGTTTATTGTATTATTTTCATATCGGTCTTGTTGTATTTTAGCAGATTAAGATAAAATTTGAGTTTCATCAGAAAGTAGGATTTTTGGGTGCTATCCATCTTCACCTCTGGGGAACAAAAGAATATAATATAATGCTGCATATACTCTATGTAGCTCTGAAATATGCTATGTTTATTGAAAAACTTGAACATATAAATTAGTAGTGTGAAGCATGTTCTGAAGTTCAGCAAGAGTTATCTGATCTAAAGATGACATAATGTTACTCCTGTTTTGAATTTCATTTTCAGTATTAAAAACATATAGTTGTATGAAAGAAGGCTGATTTTTAAAAGATTCAGAAAGAAGAGATCTAATTCGATGATAGACTTCTCCATATATAGAAAAACTATAAAGACCTCATATTCTTGTAACATATTCATCAATTTTAGCTTCTAGAGAAATAAAGAATAAAATTAAATTATAAGAACGTATATTTTGGCAAAATTCTCTTAAACACATATCATTGCTAGTGAAATAAGTATTCAATATTGGTGGAGGTTCTTGAAGATTTGGAAGAACAACTTTTTCATATGCATAGCAAGTAGCAAAAAGCAAAGAATGTTTAGTGAACCTGTGCATCTCTCATCTATCCATTTTAGTGCACCACAAGAACTACATGAAATATCTATTTTTTCAAGTATATGCCGCTGTAGACAACTTGAATCAAATAGGTGCACATGCATTTTTAAAACTAGAACACTATTAGCAATAGATATTGTAAGTGAAACTATAGTAGTTAATGTAGAAGAAGCTACTGAAATGAGAATCTCTTGAGGTAAATGAGGTGTCAGAAACCTATTAAGAGAAGAAAATATAAAAGAGCTATTATCATTAGTAGATAAAGAAACAAAACTTTCTTGAGATTGAACAAAAGATTCTGTAGATGTAGCTGTTGTAACATGGTTAAAAATAGAAAAGTTAGTATTATTCATAGATGAAGCAAAAACAAAATTTTTTTGGGGTTGGGCAAAAGAATCAGTAGTTGTAGAGATTGTAACACAGTTAAACGTTCTAGCTTTTGATTCTCTATACTGCTTTTTATATCTTTCTCTTTGTTCTTCACTTTGACGTGCAGCTAATTCTCTTTTTAGTCTATACTGGTGTTCAATTGGAGTTTTAGTTATAGAGAAATCTATTATAATAAAATACTATAAAAACTAAAATAATATGCAAATAATTTTCTAAATTACAATCAAATAGTCAGGAAGCAAAAAGCAAAAAGTAGATAAAAAAATTATGATCAAACGTCTATATATAATGTTAAGTAGAACAATCTCATTACGTCAATTTATAGTAAAGCACATATTGAGTCAACATCTTGAGAGTTAATCACCGAGCTGTATAACCTATCAAATTACAAATATGTATATTCAATAGAAGATCAATCACAGGGCTATACTATACAAAAAGTTACACAAATATGCAATATCTACCTACTATATATATTCTAATTTTTTTGTATAATATATAGATTTGAGTAATCGACATGTATATAATAGGCTTATTTTCATAGTAAATTGCAATGGTAGGCCCTTTTCGAATAGAGTTTCTTAAAAGAAAACCATGTTTATAAGACATAAACTATAGTCTAATAATATAAGTACTTTCTTATTTTTATATTTAAAATGATATGTAATAAATTTGAAAAGAATGCGGTTCTTGAAGATAGGTTTTCATTTTATTTTTATATATAGTATTCACTTGTTATTTGGTTTTTATAAACTTACCAAGCCCATTTAAAAACTACAAACTACTAGAATTTTTAGAAAAGGTTACAAGCTATGATCACAAGGTATGAGTTTTAATTTAAACAAAACTTGTTAATGTTTAGAAATCTTGCAATTAGAGAGAATTTGACTATTAATATGGTTAAACCAGACTTTATTATAAACAATGTTAGCTTGATATTTTAAAAAAAGAATCTGTCTCAGTGAGTTAAATTAAATGATACTAAAATTATATGATTCTGGACAATAGTTCATGAGATAATTAATTTTTTTATAAAAAATTTTTTTTTTGTTAATTTCATTCTTCATTCTTTTTCTCTTTCATTTCTTTTTTCTTTTGCCCTTTTTCCCAGCACCAAGTTCAAACAATATATAATTAATATGAATATAATAGTTTTAATATTGCTCAATAAACTTATAGAAAAAAAATATAAAGAATTCAATTAATATAGCTAAATTATAAAACTTATATTTCATATTACTGATATATATTTATATCAAAATTTTTTAATTAAACAAATAAAATAAAAAAAATATAAACTTAAATAACTTATCTTAGATAAAATTAATAAAAAAGATAGTACATATAGTAGTAAGTATTGACAAAAGTGAATAGCTTAAATATATCAATTATGTCAAATAAATAGGTGATTTACATACTATAAAACAGTTTTTCTTGATTTTCTTTATTATTTTAATAATGTATCAACCTTTCAAAGCTTAATTTTGCTGAAAGCTTTTATTTAAACACGTCTAGTAAAACACTTTTTGAACCACAAATTTGCAAACCTGAAAAGAATGTGACAAAAGTAAACAAAATAATAGCTTATGTTTAAGAGTATATTATTTTATAAGAAGAAGTTTGTTTTTTATATTTTTGATACCATATAGAAACTTTTTTCTGCATACTGTAAAATCTTGCAATAGCAGATATTTGTGTATTATTTTGACTATCTGCATGCTATTTTAAATATACCTATAGATATTATTTTGAATATATAGGCTGATTTTCTAAATAGGGATATTAAATAGCTCACAAAAAACTAGTTTGAACTGGGTTTAGAACTGAATGTTTAGGGCCAGTCCAAAATTAATTCAGATAAAATTTATTAAAAATGAATCATCATCTATATTGCATATTAAACTACTAAGTTAGATTTTGACTCTTTAAGAACCAAGCTAGATTAGACTAAATGAACTCTTTAATATCTTTATTTTTAAACTTATTTTTTTCAAAATATATAATAGTAGAATGCATATTATTTTGAGATACATATAGGCATTATTTTGAATCCACATATACTATTTAGGGATATGATTTTTGAAATAATATCTATACTCACTATTTCAAAATTTTATAGTAATTATTGTCTAATATATAGTGAAGATTTATAAGCAGAGATTTTTTTAATTTTTAACAGCTGCTCTACTTTGTTTAGTATATCAAAAATGTATCAAGAGTATGTCAAGAGTAACTAGATTTGTATATAGAGAGCTTCTTCTTGTATTGCGAATATAAAATAAAAATTTTCAATTATATAATATAATTAAAAATTTTATTTTGTATTTATAACACAGAAAGAAGCACTCTATATGCAAACTAGTTATACTCAATATACTCTTGATGTACTTTTGATACACTAAACAAAGTAGAACAGCTATTAAAAATTAAAAAAAAAATTTGCTAGACTTACATATATAAGTAACACTTAAAAAATGATTGTCTTTTTAGTATATAACTAAATTGTAATTAACAAATGATCTGTACTAGGATATCTAGTAGGGTTTAGAATATAGATAAAAAATTGGACATGCTTTTAGGTTGAGGCATGCCTATACTTACTGCCCAAATCCCAAACTATTATAGTTTGGGTTTGTTTATATCCAAATCCCAAACTTAAGCCTAAACTACAGTACCCTACTATATTATTATAGACACTTTTTAAAAATTTATACAAAGCTAAATAAGCAAGCTGTTAAGCTAAAAATAAAATTATAAATTTATTAAATCTATATATTTTAAATAAAAAAAGATTATTAAATCCTATGCAGTACTTCTTGAGATAATTAAGATTATATAATATTGTGTAATATTATGCTTGTACTATTAACTAGTTTTTAATAATTTAATTTTTATATTTAATAATAATATTTGGTTTAAAATTTTTTAAAAATTTTAAATTTAAATACAATTTATTATACTGAACAAATTTTACTTAATAATTAAGTTTGGTTTACTTAATAAAAAATTAAGTTTTATATATATTAAAAATTTAAATTCAAATTTATATTAAAAATATAATATATTTCAAATTAATTGATAATTTGCTAGTTAGCCAATGAGAGGTTATAATATAATATGACGTAGTTTACATATAGAAATTAAAGTTTTGCGAATATGGGCTGCATCATTCTAAAACTTTTTTTTATACTAAGTTAACCACCTTTGGGCTTCTAATTAAAGTTATAGAGCTCATTAAGAGGAATTTAATAGTAGTTGAATCGTCAAAATTAGTCTTGTAAATCACAAGATATCTTCAAAAAATGTTTTACCGACTATATAAAATTCTTCTTTAATAATACTATTGTTGAAAGAGAATTTTATTAGTTAGCAAAATGTTTTTAGAAGCCCAAAGATAGTTAACTTAGTATGAAAAAAAGTTTTAGAATAATGCAGCCCATATTCACAAACTCCAATTTCTATATATAAACTATATCATGTTATACTATAACTTCTCTCTGGTTAACTAGCAAATCACCAATTAATAAACTACTAAATATAGGGGACGTCTAAAGCAGAGTAGATTCTTATAATATATATTTTATTGAATTAACTTTAGGGTTAGGGTCATCTTATATTAGGGTTAGACTAGGTTTTAGATAGTTAGATATAAGCAAAATTGCTTTCCTGATATTTTTAATTAACTTACCTGAGGTAGGTTTAGACTGCTGTTTTTTGTATTTTTCAGGTTTTTTGTTTTTATTTCTTGTTTTGCTTCGCCGGTGATCATCAAAATTCTATGATTTGATTGGTCAAATATCATGTGATTCTGCTTCGCTTTAGACGATCTCTAAATATAGTAATTATTACTATATTTAATAATTTAATAAATATTTTTTAAAAACTTTTAAAATTTTTAAAATATATATAATTTGTTATGCTGAATAATTTTTACTTAATAATCAAATTTAGGTTACTTAATAAAAAATTAATTTTTAATATATAGCAATTATAACAATTAATTTTTTTTTAGTACAAACATAATATTATAAAATATTATATAATCTTAATTATCTCAAGAAGTACTGCATAAAATTTAATACTTTTTTTTTTATTTAAAAGATATAGATTTAATAAATTTATAATTTTATTTTTAGCTTAACAGATTGCTTATTTAGCTTTATATAAAATTTTAAAAAGTGTCTATAATAATATGGTAGAGTACTGTATTATCTCAAAAACTTTGTTAATAATCTTTATTTAAACAAATAATTTATATTCTTATAGCTATATATAATATATTTACAAAATATTAAAAATATTTTTTTGAAGAGGTTTAGGATTTCTTTAGATTTTGCTAGCAAGTATAGGCTCTATGGATATACCCTTTGTATATCATGTGATTATAACTATTATTAGACAATTACAATATATGCAATATGATGAGCTTTTATTATAATTGGTTAATTTTTGTAGATCATCTTGTGATATAGTAAAAATTTTATTGGTTAGTCAAATTTTAAACTTTAAATCACTAATATATAAATTTTTTTTATGAAATTTTAGAAGTAATTAAAAATAAAATAGAAATTAATCAGAGTCATAAAGTTGACCAATTTTTTATGATTTTTGTTATTTGTTTATAAATGATATATATTATTTATCTAAAATAGATAATAATAAGATGTCAACTAATAAACATAAATTATATATATTATTTATAAACAAATAGCAAAAATTGTAAAAAAATTAGCCAACTTTGTGACTCTAATTAATTTTTATTTTATTTTTAACTACCTTTAAACTTTAATTAAATAATTATTATC